AATACGGTTTTCGGTAACCGAATTTATTGGTAGCCGTTAAAGCCTTATAATAACATAAGTTAAGGCTAGTTATATTTAACTAATGCAATAAAAAAGAACAAATATACATACATATATATATATATATATATATATATATATATATATATATATATATATATATATATATATAAATACAATTATGTACTTTACATGGCTTCCTTCCGCTCTAATGTAGAAACACCCTTATATCTCCCTTCCTCCCTACGCGTAATTCGTCGAGAGGTGATCAATCAACGCTGCTGGGACACTGGCGACGGATTTTTGAGAACAACGCCGAACCGCACGTGTAATACCTAATAATAAAAATGAATTCGTTGCGCGCAAAATTCGCTAGCGTTTCTGCTTATAAACCATAAGCACCATGTGATATATACGGGAATAATAATAAATAGGCTTTTATTCAGTACCAAAGAGATTTAAACGTATGTACATATATATGTACGTTACGTGATGCCTGTTAATCGTGATGATCGTGGCAAATTCTTCTTACTATATGAGAGTTCGCTGTAAGTCGTTAAAAAAGATGAAATGTTACAGTGTGGTACAGTACAGTAATAATACTGTTGCAGCCTTTTAACAGTCCACACCTGAAAACCTCAGGCCTCACCCATTGTCTTATAGGAGGCATATTTTGGCTGACGGGTTGGCAGTCAGTTTTTTATTTTCAAGTTGCTATTAGGAAGATGCTGCTGGCGATCTTCTCGTTCTGTCACCTTTTTTAACGCCCACGGGATTATATGGCGGGGTGTTGGATATTCTTACACCGTCACTATAACGTCAAACGGCATCGGGAAAACTACTTTAAATCGTGATAAAATATAGACTGCAATAGGCCGGCGCTATGGCCCGAAGAACCGACAATTCACGGGTAAGAAAGGTTCTCGAGTGGCAGCCTCGTCGATGCCTCGACAACCCAGAAAGTTATGCAAGAAGTCGATGGATGCAAGTGGCTCAGGACCGTGTTTTGTGGTCTTCCTTAGGGGAGGCCTATGTTCATCAGAAGACTTTTATACGTGGTAGAGCCATGCTGCAGTAATATTAGTAGTATAGTTATAGCACGAATGAGTCGGCTCGACCGGGGAAGGACCACGCTCTCACAGAATAACAGCGTAAAATAGTAGCTTAATGCTGCTGTGTTTCGTATGGTGAGAGTAGAGAACCGGAGACCCTTTTTACTGGAAACGAGGCATTCCATCTTAGTTCTCACGGGTGACAACGAATCTGCATTTTGATTCATAATTGAGGATAGATGTAGATGTCTATGGGCCACAGCAACCAATTATCATCAAGTAGACTGTGTGCTAGTTTCTCACCCTATCCTATTAAAAAAAGACTTTAGATAGATTATAATGTTGATGATAATGATGTAAATAAAGCCTATATATAGGGGTAGGGTATATAAAAGTGTTGCTTTTGATCATTCAAATAATTATTAGAACCGGATGAACAATTCCTTCCAGAGATTAATCAATCAATTAATCAAATGGTAAATGAAACAATTGACTTTAAATAAGTATTGTTTATAATCTACATTTTTAAAACCTCTGAGCTTAAAAGAAGCAATATTTTAGAAACGCCACGGCTTATACATTAACACGTTGCGTTCGTATAATTACGCGTTCTTTATAAGTGTAAAACTAACACTACTAACATATTTAGTTACAGTTTAACGACTACGTGGCGTAGTGGCTTAGGAATGAGTTGCAGCGCTGAGGGCCGCAGGTTAAAATCCCGAATAAAACAAGTATTTGTATGGTCTACAAATAATCGGTCCTGGTCTGGATGTTTGTCCTTGTGTAATTAATGTCTGTAAACTGCCTCCACGATACAGGAGAAAATCCTAGTGAATTTTTTTTTGTAAATACATACTTAGAGGCATGCCGTACTGCAACTGTATTATGGTTGTAGCACGAATGGATCGGCTCGGCCGGGGAAGGACCACGCTCTCACAGAATATCAGCGTATAGAAAACCGGAGTCGCTTTTTACTGGAAAAGAGGCATATCATCTTATCCTCAGGGGTGACAACGCATCTGTATTTTGATTCTTAATCGGGGATAAATGTAGATTTCTATGGTCCTCAGCACCCACTTACCATCAAATCCACTTGATCCGTTGTGTGCTCGTTTGTCACCCTCATTCTATAAAAAAATTACAGATATATGTATTTTATATGAAAGCGTAAACGCATGAGAGTTGAGTTGTACAGTGTTAGTGTCCAAGCCCCACAAGCGATCCATCACATGGTCCCCCGACGCGGCCGCTTCCCGCACGATGGACGTGCGAACCTCCTTCTTACATTGTGTGAAGTTGTATTGTTTGCTTTGGGTTTTAGCGCTTGAACGTGTAAGTATATTTTTTGTAAAAAAAAACCATGATATTGTATCTAATGGATTAAGCCACCGGGCATTAATACCTATCCCAATTAAATTTATGCTTAAATTTTAGTTTTAGTATTATATAGCGTGAGACACACTACTTTTGTATCGTTCTGTTAAAAATCCAAACTAAATTTAAGATACGTTGAGGAGGAATAACTTATTTGAACGAACTAGCAATGAAGTAATAGAATCTACTATAAGTACCTTACCTTATAAGTACCTACTAACGGGCGAGAAAATAAAAAAAATCCTAGAAAATTATTATAGCGCCACCTACCGGGTCCAATTGCGAATCTAAACCATCTGGGGACCCACTTGTGGCCGTGGAAGGTAAAGTGGAGATCTCCCACCGGGCAAGTTGTTCTGCCCGGGGAGCGGCCAACACTCCGTGTGATGGTTCGGAGATGTTCTATATATGCTGTTTATGATTCGGGATGTTGATAGCGTGATTTAGGCTTCGGAGTGTTTCGCTTGCGGCGCGACGACAGCGCCGCCACATCACTCCCCTGCTCAGACCTAGGATCGATAGTGCAACCTCATTGCCGACGAATGTGCAAGTGCCAGGAGATTGCTTTGTAGTCTGCGGTGAGTCGAGAAGAAGGCAAGTAACCTGCGAGAGTGCCGTGAAGCAGAGGCGAGCAGAAAGGCTCAGAGCCGTGCCGAACACTGTAGCGCAGAGAGTAGCTTGAAGGAACAGGAAGCATTATTATTCCAGTGCTGCGATGAACCTTGTGAAGCTAGATGGCTTGCAGGATATGAATACAGCAGACGATATCTGCTCCGGAGCGAATGGGTGGGGTATTTTATGACGATGATGAGCTTGAAGTTTCCGAAGGTTGTTGGTTGCGTGTTCAAATCACGGATTCATCGAATTGCTCGGTCACCACTGTGGCCGAGGTAGGAAAAGGGGAGATCTCCCGTCGGGCAAGGTGTTCAATGATGGGGGTGATGCCCGGTGGAAGATCTCTCCTTTTCCCTCCACGGCCAGTGTCACGGGCCACAGCCGTATTTATAGAATAATAAAATTTATTAAAAAGTTGTCAGTGTAGTCATCATTAAACGATCTAGTAGACGTTTGCCATATTTTATGTTTGCCGAAAATTGTCAAAGCACGGTTTTGAATTTTTCTATAGATTAATTTTAAAAAAATTTTACATTGATTGTGGAAAAATTGTTTAACAATTGCCGTTTGGTACTTTAGCAACTCAAATTTTCAACAAGAAATGATATCGAGTATTGATATATTTTAGAAATATGTGTTTTACATATGATTTAATATACGATATTCCTATAAAAAAATGTAAAATATGGGCTATTATAAATGTATCGGTGTTATGTACGCCATCTAGTTTGCTTAAAAAGAACTATTATTAAAAAAGAAGTTAATTAAAATACGTTTTCACAAAAATATTATAATAGATGGCTCTGGTATTAACGATGGAAAATAATTTGCCTTAGCTTGTTTAGCTCATTTATCACGAAATAATGTTTTAAACTATAAAATGTATACACGGGTGAACAGAACGTTCGCTCAGGGCATCAGTATTAAGGAGGCGCTATCAGCCCGCTTGGCGCTTTGATCCACGAATCTATCGGTTAAAAAGGAATTAGGTACAGTATATATTTCCGATGTTTAGTGCTTATATCTACGGTCTACGAGGCACTGGGTCGTTTGATGTCATAATTTCATAAATATAGCATAATAACCAAGGGTGGTTATAATCTAGAGGTAAGCAGAGTTTCGGGTAGCCTCCGCTAGATGTCACTCATTTTCTACTGAGTCCGTCGTTGTGAGGCTGCCTCACTACTTCATCTTATTCCTCAGAGATGAACGCATGAGGATAAAAAATACCATTCCAGTTTGGGACCGTGTGTATTAAACTACATTTCCGAAAATTATAATAATGAAAACTCTTCGTGATCATCATAAATGTCCATATGAAAATTATTATAGACATCAAGCTGGGTCAGGAGTTGGAGTAATTTATAAGGGTTCACCATACCATTTTTCTTTGTCCGATGTTGGTTCACCTGCAACCGACTTCAATATCTGTCGCCAAGCAGCAGTATGTACACTACCGTGTTCAAGTCTGAAAGCTACAGAGAGTCAGTTCTATCACTGACTGAGAGGCATTCGTTCTTGGTTCTTAGGGGTGACAACACATTTCTGTAGCTTTCCTTGTTAGAAGTTGGCTGTAGGTTTCCATGAGCTGCAGCCACTTAACTGTAAGTTTGTCTAAAATTATTATTATTATCTAAAATTATGGAGTGAAGACGTGGTAAAAAACTGGTAGTAGATGGATGCAGGTGGTTTGCTTTGTGGCAGTTTATTGGGAAGTCTATTTATTTGGTGGCCTTGTGACGGACCCTAAATAGTGAAAGTAATAAAGAAAACAAAATTTTTATACTTATAGAATTTATTTGTTGTTTCCATTCATAATTCATATTTTTTATTTCTGTATCACAATGGCGATTTGGGTACTATAACAGAGATAACTGGATATAAAACTAGGCAAATTCAAATAAATATTTACAAATTAGCAAGTTTTCTTGCTATATTTTCTATAGATTCTCTATCTCACTGCTGTACAGTTTGACTTATCCTGAAACAAATATTAAAACTAGTTAAAAATTTTTTTAGCGAGAACTACACCTGTATAAAAGAAAAATTTGATTTTATTGATAGTGAACGTACAATTAAAAAATATAAATTAATTTTTTATTGTAATTTAGAAAACCTAATATTAGGAACATAAAATTTACGTTTCTTAATATTAAGTTAAAAGTTAAAGTTACAGCCTATATACCTTCCACTACTATGTACGGGCCTCCTCTCATTTCTGAGGTTTTAGGGTAAGGAAGTGTCGCCGCGCTGACACAACTTTTGTTTTTTAACATTAATATATACAATATTTATTTTAAAAAAAACTAAGGACGACGATTCTATTGCGCAGTGATTTGAAGCGCCAAGGGCCGCGGGTTAGAATAAGGCACGGAACAAGTATTTGTATGGTCTACAAATAATTGTTCTAGGTGTGGGTGTTTGTCCTTATGCTTATGTATGTAAACCTATACGGTACAGTAGAAATTTCTAGTCGGGATAAAGTTTTAAAAAAATAATAAAAAAGGAATATAAAACTTAAACTGTCAGTAAAATTAGTGTTAAATTGTAAATGTGACACATACTTCACAATAATGTGTGTCGAGATAAGCTGCTCCAGTTATAACAAGATGTGAATGTGAGGAAGACCCCGTTTTTGCAATTCCACTGAGTAAATAAAGCAACGAATTCCCCCAAACGGAATGTCTTTGGTTAAAAATCCCATCATCTTCATGTGGAAACCTCTGGCTATAACGTCGTGGCGTGCCGTCTATTGGCGGTGTAAGAATAACCACGGCCACATATCGTCCCCTGGGCGCCGTAATAAATCAGGAGATGGTCGACAGAGTCTTCCTAATAACGACTAAAAATAAAAAAATGCGGTTCAATCTATGCGGGAGGTCTATGTTCAGCAGTGGACTTCAATATCCTGTAATAGTAACGGTAGGGTAATGTTGTGGCGTCACACCCGGCGTGTGTGTGCGTGCGTGTGACGTCGTGTGTGTGCGCGTGTAACGACACTTGTAGCCGAGCACGGCGCGCACGGCCGCCACCTTTTCCACGGGGCGCGGCAGCGCAAGCACCTGAAGGCTGCGCGCGTACGGCAGTGTGGGCGTGTGCGTATGTGTGCGTGTGTGCGCGCGTGTGATGTCACCTGTTGCCAAGCACGGTGCGCACGGCCGCCACCACGTCCACGGGGCGCGGCAGCGCGAGCGCCTCGAGGTTGCGCGCGTACGGCATGGGCACGTCGGCGCCGGTCACGCGCCACGCCGGCGCGTCCAGCTCGAAAAATGCGGGCGACTCCATAACGCGCGCGCAAATCTCCGCGCCGATGCCTGCAAAACAAAAAATTGCAATACTGAAGACCAACCTGCAGGAGACCCTCGGTAGGGGAGATCAAACGATCGGGGTTTAAGGGGAAACGGAACGAAACTATCAACGCAGTAGAGCCACGATGCAGCTATATTATGGTTGTAACATGAATAGATCGACTCCATCGGAGGAGGACCGCACTCTCACAGATTACCAGCGTAAAATAGTAGCTCAATGCAGTTGTGTTTCGTTTTGTGAGTGTAGTGAAGCAAATACCTTTTTAACTGGATACGAGGCATTCCATCTTCACGGGTGACAACAACTGCATTTTAAAATGTAATGGTAGATAAATATACATGTCTATGAGCTACAGTATCCACTTACCATCAGTTGATTATGTGCTCGTATGTCAACTTTATTCTATAAAAAAACCAGCGGACGAGATCGGTTGATTACAAACGAACTAGAGAACTTCAAGTCGTCTGTACGACAGTTTTAACGTAATATCTTTTTTTGTAGGATAGTGTGATAAACGAGCACACAGTACAGTACAGCTTGGCCTAGACGCCTACAAGTATCCTCGATTACGAAACAAAATGCAGATGCGTTGTCACCCGTGAGGACTAAGATGGAATGCCTCGTTTCCACCATATGTAACATAGCGGCTTAAAGCTACTATTTTACGTTGGTCTTCTGTGAGAGCGTGGTCCTTCCCCGATCGAGCCGACCCATTCGTGCTACAACCATACAACATATGACTCCAGCATGGCTCTACCACATACATATAAAATCTGATTGGGACAAACAGATATTTGTCCCAGCAAACACCAGTCTTACTATGCGCACGACTCTCGGCCTATTATTATCTGACCTGAAGCTCAACGGGCTGCCAATGAGGGCCCTTGCCTTTATGATCCTCAATCAAGATCCTTTTCGGGCAGTGATGGATACTTTGTCCAATGAAACGACAGAGTGCTAATGCAAAACCAAAAAGAATTGAGTCCGTCTCGCAATGGTCCCCGTTCGTTTCCAAATAGGTTAACAGTATTCCGTTCAGCGCCCAGCAGGGATGGCAGATATGATAAGGATATAGAATGACGAGTGAACGCAGAAAATAGAGTAAATGGGGCTCTACACTCTATTGTGGAAAGTCAGAATTTGTCAAAAAAGGTACTACGGCAATTCACAATGCTGTGTTAATTCCTAGTTTAATGTATGGTAGTGAAAGTTGGGTGTGGCAAAAGAAGCACGAGAATAGAATAAATGTTGTAGAAATGCGGTCACTAAAGAATGTTAGGGTTGAAGTTATGGCTGAATCTCAATGACAAGGTGAGATATTGTGTGATAAGAGAAGAGCGTGGTTTCCAAGATGTTGTGACCAGGATTAACCTTTTGAGCGCCACGACACAAACGCATTCCCGTGTCCTGTAGGCTAAAGCACAAAGTGAACAAAATACCTACAAAATAAATAGTGTTGCCAAGAGTATAGTACATCGGTAACATACAGTGACTTGTTTATGTTGTTTTTTATGCAATAAATGACTATCTACTTATATTCTGGAATGTTGTATTTAATCTTGTGCTATCTCCCATTCTGTTTACATAATATATACTTAGTACAGCCGAGCCGAGCCGTGGTAGCTCAGATGGTTAACGCTTACTGTAAATATAACAGAACGCGAGTAACTCAGGTTCGATCCCCGCCGGCAATTTTAAGTGCTGATTTACCACGTGCTCGGCGGTGAAGGAAAACATCGTGAGGAAACCTGCATGTCTGAGGAATAAGGAAAAAAAAATATTTCGAAGACATGTGAATTCGCCAACTTTGGGGCATTGGGCATTGGGGCAGCGCGGCAGACACTTCCTTGTCCTAAAACCCTCTCAAAAATGAGGGGCACAGGCCCTCCCCTGTGCCCAGCAGTGGGACGTATACAGGCTGTAACTTTACTTTCCTTACTTTTACATAAATAAAAAATTTACATTACAAGTAAGATAGTAATAAACCACTAGAAAAATTATGATCTTAGGAAACACATAAAAAAGCTCATTCAAAACATGCTTCTGAAAAAGAAAGAAGCTGCTGACACATCAACCAGTTGCCAACCTAATGATCCTAAAAATTTCGCTGTAGCAAAGTTAGATCATTACTTAAGCGTACCAAGGGCCGCAAGAGATGCAAAACCTCATAAATGGTGGGTTTCTAATAAAGGCTATTACCCCATTTTGGGAAAAATTGCGGCTCAATACTTAGCAACACCCGCCAGTTCGGTTTACAGTGAACGGCTTTTTTCAGAGGTGGGCTTAGTATATAAAACAAAAAGAAGCAAACTAGACCCAAATAGGGCCAAAAAAACTAGTGTTTTTGCATCACAATCTGCCTCCCTTAAATTAAAATTTATATTATATATTAGTAATAATAACTTCAATCATAGATTCTTATGTACGTTCTCAATATTTCTGCTGTTTCTCATGCTCCGGACGTTTAATGTGTCTAATATGTATAATAATAATGATAAACTGGCTTTTTTCTTTATTTTTTTCTGGAATATAATTAAGGTCGAGTACTCTGTACTCGGCCGTTAAGACGCTACCCTGACCAAAACCTGGCAAAAGTGCGTTTTTCAGACTCTATTATCTCATTAGTTATGAAAAATAAACTACATCTAAAAGTACATTATTAATGTTCGATATCTTATCATCGCATTCCACGTTCTAATTTATTTTTATGTGCTATAAATACATTTAAAATCAACTTTTAAAAAATGACTAAAATTCTTGATTACATGCATCTGTTGCTAAACGCAACGCTCTAATCATTTGAGGATAACACTAATGGATAGATAATGAAAAAATCTATATTCTCCACGTTTTATTTAAATTTTTAAGTTCGTTTTTTCTCTGTTAATTGAAATAATTCCGAAAATTGTGTGACTTCTATGATAAAGGGGCGTGCGCAGAGTGCGGGCGGCATTACGCTGTATGCGTTCATACGGGGTAGCCGCGTCGCTGGTCGCCGCGTTTTGTATTTCGCCGCAAACATAATATTATTTGAGTACCTACCAACCGATGCGCTTACGTCACGGTATATTGTAACTCGGCCGTATCTTAGAAATAAATGTTACAGCCGTGCGGTACGTAAACATGCGATAGGGCTGCTGCCTCCTGTATTTTTACATTTGCCCATTGATTTATGTGTTTTATAACTCAATGCATTTTCCTACTTTGTGTTTCCATTTAGTTTTATGATTGTACTTAAATATACTTTTTTATATAAACAAATATAATAGGTACTTTGTGAATTGAATAGGAAGTGTTCAATAAAAATGCGTGTCGTTTTATGATTGGTAGATTTAATTAAAAAACCATGTTTATGTTTGAATAACAAATCGGTCTTATAAATTTGCGGCCGAAAAATATTTGTGCCTCGGCTGAGACGTACGAAATGCTTTATTATTAAAATTTTAAATATAAAAAATCCGCATTATAATATAAAGCTTAATTAAAAATTGTTTTGGGAAACATGGACAAGTTGGAGTAAAGGAATATCTTTTACTTGGTTATAGATACCTGCAGCTATTTTACAATTTATATGTTTGGTTTTAAATGAAGTTTGGATTTATTATTTTTTTATTTCTATTCTATTTTCTGAAAGGGTCCTAGGAAAGGAATTATCCACCGCGCTGCCCCACTGCGTGTTGGCGAACTTTGCATGTCTTCGAAATATTATTTTTCTTATTTCTCAGACATGCAGGTTTCCTCACAATGTTTTCCTTCACCACTGAGCACGTGGTAAATCAACACTTAAAATTGCAATTACAATATTATTGGTGCCGGCGGGGATCGTACCCGGTTTGCTCGCACACTGTGAAAATTTTAGCAAGCGCTAACCATCTGAGCTACCACGGCTCCTCTCCTCTCGAGCTAGAGACTTTATTTTATTTATCGTCAGGCCTGTTGGTCTAGTGGTTAGTGACCCTGACTGCTATGCCGTAGGTCGTGGGTTCGATTCCCACCCAGGACAAATGTTTGTGTGATGATTTATCTATAATATTTATGTATTTAGAAATATATAAGTATGTTTATCAGTTGTCTAGTACCCATAACACAAGCTCTGCTTAGCTTGGGACTAGATGGCGTTGTGTGATATTTGTGGAATATTATTATTATTATATTATTATTGTTGGGGTATCTGTATAGTTTTCTCATCTGGTTGGTTTTTATAAATATAAATTAAAATGAAAAGATAAATATACATAAATATCAATAAAATAAAATAAATACAAAAAATATACAAATAAATAAAGATCCAACCATATTAAATAAAAAATAGTCTCCTATCTTTCTCTCTATGTTTTGATCTCCTAAAACGAGTTTGAGTTGGTAAAAATCAAGGCAAACTTAGGGTAAGGTTTGGAAATTCCGCGGTTTTATATGCGCAAGCGTGAACGTAGTTAGAACATAATATAACCTTTATATTTTACATAAATATCCTAAATATCCTAAAACTTATTATTTTAATATTTTACTAAGTACCTATAAAATTAACAAGTTTATTGCATTTTTATTTGAGTAATTTTTTATGCAATTTCTTTATCTACGTCTATTTTAGGAACCTTTATTTAGTCTGAATCATACATAACACTATATTACTGATTTACTTACTTATACGTAGTTTTTTTTTGCAGTTACAAATATCTTGTGAGGTTGAAAAAGGTAGTAATTAAAAAATAATAAGAATAATAATAATTGACGTCAACAACCACTTTTCATATCATGGTCCATTAGGTTGCAGCTTCACCGAACCACAACTTATAATAATAATAATAATAATAATAATAATATAATATTATTTTGTATTTATTTTATTTTATTGATATTAATGTATATTTATCTTTTCATTTTAATTTATAATTTTTATATATTTAAATATTTATATAACCGAACCAGATGAGAAAATTATACGGCTCCAACGATTTTAGCGACGAACGCTTGGATTTATTTTTAGAAAATGTCCTTTTGTCCATGTTTTTAGGCAGTAAAAAACTGCTACAATATAAGAAGGTAAATTTCGACTAATTGTTAACGGTCGTTATAGCTCAGGTGGTATGTCGGTCGGGCGTGATATCGGAGTTCCGTGGTTCGCATCTTGGCTTTGGTCCTGCTTTTTTTCCTTTTTTTCAAGTTCCCTTCTTTTGTGAGAAAATTTATTATTTCAAACCCTTTTTTTTAGTAATTTTTTAAAATACGAAAATTTTAATTTTAAAAATTAAAAAAAATATCTATTTAGTTACTAATGCTATATTTATTATTTTAATAATTACCTACCCAGTAGGTAAATATTAAAATAATAAATGTAGCATTATAAACAGTAAATCTCCCTCAAAGTCAATTTACTAATATTGCTCCTAAATAAGGAATAGCAGATAAAAGATTAGTAGGTAATAACTATTGCTCCTCAAAATTATATTTGACCTCAAGGTAAAACATATCCTAAAATTCAGTAGCTAAATAAAATAATAATAACTACTATTCAAGTATATTTTCAATATGTAAGTAAATGAAAATAACAAAAATGAAGCACCATTAGCATGTAAAGTTCGAATCCATAATTAATATTTCGACAAATATTATAATTTACACTATAAAAAGCTAATCCAATATTAGCAGTATAGTATATAGTTAAAAATAATCAAAATAGTCATTTTTATTAATTAGATAATATATTAGAATACATAATTCTAATATAATGCAACTAATATACCGAATAAAGAAAATTAAAATACATTTATCATTGTACGCCGTGTCTATTTCCATAGAAGAGTTCATTGACATTGAAAAAATAATACTACGTTCGTAGCAGTAGGTGGCGTCTTTTGGCGATTTCTTACGCGATATATTGTAGCGAGCGTCGACAGACCAAATGCTCAAGGTCGTTCGCTGGAGGTAGCGCCTTAATACTCGGTATTCGACCGAACCCGCCGGGTACCGAATCCAAACCGAGTACTCGTCCCATGTGTACTCTTCATCGTGATGACGTCACTGTCACGGCTGGACGACAACGGCGCAGCTGACCTTCCTTTTTGAAATTTCCTTAGAGATGTAGCCGCGTCGCACGCTGTGTGTCTGGCTATGCTATGCTATGAGCTACAAGTAAGCTGGCGAACGCGTGACAAAAGCGTTACGAAAAGTGTGATCGGTCGAGGCGACGGGACGGGAGTTGAGTGGGGGATATAAGTAAGAGAGAGCGGTGCGCGAGCACTATTTCTTTTTCTTCTTCTCTCATAGCCAGTTATTTTTCGTAATTTTATTTCCTTTTGAATAATTTTATGAATTAATATTTTGTTCAATACATTAAATATTCTACGTTTATAATTATGGAAGGCAGCAGATAGTAAATTTAAATATTTGTAGAAAATAATATATGTATATACATGTATACATTACACATATGTGTATATATAAGTCGACACGCTATTTTAGATCTCAACGCTTTATAGTTAGATCAGTTTTTAGTCAACTACAATACTATTCGAAACAATTGTAATGCTGAAAGTGAGCAAGTTGATATACTAGTTCATGTAGCTGATGATAGTTTTATGTTTCTTACCTTTTATTTTATTTATATATCAATAATAATTAAAAAAATAATAATAACACGTTTGAGTTCAATTTTGAATAGTTTTCAAGAAATCTATGCCTCCTGCATAACAACACTAGCGGTCAACCATAAGAAGACTGTGGTGTGCTGGACATAGCTAAAATCCGTATTTTTTAGTCTGTGTTCCGAAATAGAACAAAGTATACCGGCGAATGCAAATGACGTCATTAATTGACGCCATATTGTACTGGCGTGCCGCCGACATAGTGTCGGATATCCCGCCATATTAAAACAATTTTTAAACAGTCAAATACTAAATCATCGTCATCAGTATCACTATTGGATGAATCAGAATGAATTTCAATAGCAACACGACATACTACATAATTGCTGGTATCTCCATTCTTCACAAATTAATTGAAACAAGATATAACAACTTTTGGAGCAAAAATGACATAAAATAATTGGCAACACTTTTCCAATATGGCGCAAATGTGATGTGATGTCATATACTGGCCAATGTTTTAAAACGAATCACCAGTATGGCTTCGATTTACGACGTCGTATGCATTGGCCAGTATACAGGGTTCTATTTCGAAACACAGGCTTATTTAATGTTTTTGAGTACTTGTGGCTTTAAGAGACTTGTTTTTTAAAATACCAGTAATAATTTTTCAATCATTTGTTATTTTTGTGGGCCGGGTTTTTTGTCGACTACAGACGTCATTAGCACACAGGGCCCGCAGGTCCGCAGGGTCAAGTATAGACTTTGGCGCTCAAAAGGTTAAGAAAGGAATGCTTCGGTGGTTTAGTCATGTAGAAAGAATGAACGAGGAAAGAGTGACAAAGCAAATCTATATTGCAGGAGTCACGGTGGTGACGAGTGTTTATGTATATATATGTCTTCTGTGTTATTTATCGCACTATGTGAATGTGGTCTATAATGCCAAATCCTACTCAAAACCCAGCCTAACCCAGGCTGAAGTTCGTCGAGTCTTCGCGCGAGTCTTAATCCTTCTTCTTTGGACTGTGATAACGCTACTTTGTCCTGTAGCGTGTCCAGGCGTGGAAAGTTTGACAACAATGCGGCAAACTGTCAAAGGAGCACCAAAGAGTAACGAGTCCATGTCGCAAAGGTTTTGGCTGGTCTCCAGGTAGGTTTCCCAGCAATGGGTTCAGTAGGGCCCTCACAATATCCCGATTCCGCTTGCTTCTAAACCAACCATAATGGGAAAATTCAAGGCGGATTCCACATGTGTATGCTGGTCTGTGGTCGGAGAGGCCGCATCTTCAGCCATAACAGATTCATTGAATGTGGGAATAGTCTCATGTCGTAGTTGTTCGAGTTCGGTATCATCAAATATTTTCAAGCACATGATGTATCGAACTCGGTCTGCCAGGTTTTGCTCTGTGATGGGAACAGTTGGTTCCAGCTCAGCAAACAAGTGATGCATTCGAGCCTGATACCCTATCTCTCTAGTGTTTTCTCCTGTCGCCCATAGTACGACCGCAATGCGTTTGTCTTTCTATTTTCTTCCAACGCAGGCGACAGCCAGCCAGCTGGCGGCGCGCCCGCGACCCCAGGCAGCGCTCCTATGTACCGTCTTGTTATATCCATTATCCATAATACGGCCGTCATTTAAAGGGAGACGCCCAGGCCCCGCACTGTTTCATGGTGCGCCCATAAACACAAACGGGCCTTTGCTCTCTCAATTCTATCGAGGTACGGCGCTCACACCTCTTTACAAGGCGCTGACTGCAGAGCCTCTCACCATCAGGCGGACTATTCCTATACTAGTTCCTTTCTACACTTGTAAGTCCATAATATCCAGTGGTCTTATACAATTTTTTATCTTAATATATACAAATTACGTGTCACGTTGTTTGTCCGCGATGGACTCCTAAACTACTTAACCGATTTTAATCAAACTTGCACACCATGTGCAGTTTGGTCCAACTTGAGAGATAGGATAGTTTTTTGCCCATGTAGCTACAATTTTTTTGCGAATTTAAGGATTTTTAATAGGACATGACAAAGGGTCGTCGAAAATTGCAGAACAACGTCTGCCTGGTAAGGTCGTATTTAAATTAATTTCTTCCTTACCTGACTGGGGCCAGCCTTGTTCGACGGTGACAAGGTGGTGAGTTTTCGCGATGGATTGTGCAATCGTTTCGTAGTCTAGAGGCCGCAGTGATCTTAGATTTATCACTTCACACTCGACACCTGAAATTTAGTAGAATATAAAAAAAATATGCTTCTTGAAAAAATAGTCATAGCATTTTAAATTAAGTCCTTAATTTAAATTCGTCAAATGCAAGGCAAGTATAATAACTCCACACAGTAGTATTGGCATCTATATAATTATCCATAATAGTTATCATTCAACATTATTACAACCCCATCACAAGTCCACTACTGAATATCAGTAGTGAGGCCTTACTTAAGGAATGCCACAAAGCACTGCCCTGAGATATCTGCGTCCATCAACTTCCTGTAAGTCTTACCACACCATCTAGTGGGAATCGCTCTACACTTTGCCTATCGGTACGAGGCTGCCACTCGAGAACCTTTTTTCTCCCATCGGTTGTCAGTTCTTCGAATTATATGGCTGGTCTAATGCCAGTTCAGCTAACTAATCCACTAAATTATGTCAGTCACTTTGGCTCTACTGCAGATATCATCATTTCTAAGTTTATCGTGCAGATAAACTCCAAGCATCTCTCTCCATTGCTCGCACAGTAAACTTGAACTTCCTCATACGGCCAGCAGTGAAGGAATATTTAGCATATTAGTTAGGGCATACTAAAATAGGAATAAATAAATCAGTGGATAATAAAGCCCTGATAAATAAAACATATAACAATAATATAATTTTATACATATATATGCATGCTTTGTATATGGCTCGTAGAATCAATATAAGCCATTAGGAAATAACCTTTTTGTGACAATATTAGGGCTCATTGTCCTCTCATGTATTGTAAAAAGTTAAAAGTAAGCCTATTGCTTACTGCGGCGTAGAGGCCTACACTCACTTCTTGGGAGTTTATGGAGGTGTTTGATTTCCATGTTGTCCTAGTAAATATTAGCAGATTTCACATACCGTTACAGCCTACACAGATTGCCTCATAGGGGCGATATTTGCCATAGTTGCCACGCTTGGCAAACGTGTTGGCGGCCGCAGTTTTTTATCTTTAGTCGTTATTAGGAAGCCGCTGCGGCCCATATTCTGATTTGTTACCTTTTGTTGCCACTTACGACACCCACGGGATGATATGGACTAGTGGATATTCTTACACTGTCAATACACAGCATACTTCACATGCCTTCGAATATTTTCCGAAGGTTTTCTTAGAGTTTTTCTTCAACGTGAAATTTATATAATTAAAGGTGCTGGCGTGGATCAAATTCCCTTATTATTTTATTTAATGATAATGATGACCAACTAGTGACATCTGATGAGTATAATATCATGAGCCAGCATTGTAACATGGTCTTTTACTGTGACTCTGGTAAGTTTAAATCAATAAAATAACTTATTTGGAAAAAGCATTACCATTTCCTGCGAGTTCATTAGCTGCCTGCAAAGCAGTGTCAGTTGCTTTACCCGCACACACTAAAGTGATGTGTTGACCTGGCCTCTCTATTTTAGCTTTTCCTGAAATTTGATAAACGTTTTTTTAATGATATTAGCTCACTTCCTTCTCTGTCTGTCTGTTAGGAGGTGATGGCGATAGGCAGGCAGTTGGACGGGTCTGAGCGGTCGCCTTTTTTAGGGATCGGGTGGACGAAAGCAGTCTTCCATGATTTTGGGACTACGCCTAGGGAGTAGGAGTACCGGAAAAGACGCGTTAAAACCGGTGCCAACTCTGGAGCACATGTCCTCAGCACAATTGGGGGGATTCCGTCAGGCCCACTCGACTTGTGATGTCCAGGGAGAGGAGTGCTTTGCGAACTGAGCGCTGTGTGAACTGCACTTCCGGCATGGAGCACTCACACCGCGGGATGGTCGGCGGCGTACTCCCCCCGTCATCGAGAGTCGAGTTGGACGCAAAGAAAGAGCCTAGCAGATAGGCTTTCTCCTTTGCGATATGGGCCAGTGAGTCGTCCTCCCTGTGCTACAGAGCTGCATTGTGGTTCTAACACGTAGAAATGAAGCCTTAATTGCCATGTTTGTCAAATGGATTGGTAATTTCACTCCATCGCTGGTCTATTTTACTATTTATCGTGATGATGAGCAGTATTGATCTGCTATTTGGTGATGGTATTCTGTGAGAGCGTGGTCCTTCCCCGCTCAAGCCGACCCATTCGTGCTACAACTATATTACTAATATAACTGCGGCATGGCTCTACCACATATAAGATTCTTAACCGTGACGTTTGTCAGACTGATTGACCATGCAGTACCAGATGCGAGTACCTCAGACGCTGCCGCTTGTCGTCGGTGAGTTTTATTTTATTTTGGTTCTGGCGACATGGTATTCCACAATCTATTACAGTCCTAAGATATTTCTAGCATTACCTATAGTCGCCCCTTATCACAAACACGGGATAAAACATGGTCATGGATTCTCTTATTCCGCCAACACATAGTGACTGCGTTTCACTAGTTCAGTAATAAGGGTTGGTCAATAAACATTATAGTGTAACGGCGCTAACGTCACGCCACAAGCAAACCGCACCGAAACCTAAATCACGCTATCAAAGTTCCGAGGTACTGCGGTATATATAGAATAACTTTGAACTACCGATGTAAGTCTAGACTTTTAGCAAATATAAGCCTCCCAATTTATAGCTATAGACTAAAACTTATTTATTTAAGCTATAGCACACAGAACGATGACCTCTCTCCGGGCTGCTCACCCTGCCTGGCAGGATTTCCCCTTTTCCTTCCACGGCCAATATATCTTTGTACATGCCTTGTTATCACAAAGCACAATTTCCAAAAAGTAAAATGAAAATAAAATTTGCTTTATCTTTTATTTTTCGTTATCATTTCTTTTTTATTATCGTTTATTTCGCGGACCCTTTCACCTAATTCTTAACATTATTCTGAAACCATATTCCTGATTACATGGATATCATTTGCTTAAATCTACCAGTAATTATATTAAATAACATTATCAATTAAGTTTTAAAAAAACAATTGCTTATTATCAAGATAGGCTGTCCAAAGTCGTACAAAAATTGATACGTACCAATAGGTAGCACAAAGTCATTAGATAAAGCCTCATCTGACATTGGGAATTGTACACCGTACAGAATTTCATCCTCTAGGAACACTACTGGGTCTGGGTCTCTGATAGCTGCTTTAAGGAGACCTGGAAACATAAAATTCAACGTCAATAAGGAATAAAATATTTTTTTAGTACTGTAACAGCAGTACAATTCTAATTATGTCTCATAATAGAAGTTACAATCCATTGTAATATAAAATCATCAATCATCAAACTATCTAGTCTGCATAGGAAAAATTTTTGTTCCATTGATTAGTTTTCGTTTGGCGAAGCACGCTGAAGCTATATTATGATTGCAGCATAAATGGGTTGGCTCAACCAGGGAAGGACCACACTCTCACAAAACACCATCGTAAAACATCTTAATGGTGCTGTGGTTCATGTGGTGAGTGTAGAGAATCAGAGACCCTTTTTACAGGTAACGAGGCATTTTATCTTAGTCTTCAGGGATGACATTTTGATTTTTGATGGAGGATAGATATGTAGCTATGAAGCAGCATATGCTGTCCTTTAATAACATTTACTGAATAACATTTTCATTAATTCATTCACTCAGCTAATCAAAGGTCCACAGCTGAACATAGGCCCTTTCGTGGATTGCCCCACACCCATCAGGAAGATGCTGCTGCCCATCCTCTGTTTCATTTCCCTGTGTCAGGTCTTAGGACTAGACATGGGACGAGTACTCGGTTTAGATTCGGTGGATTCGGCCTTTTTTTAGGATTCGTTTATTAATTTTTTTAATTTTATATATTTAATAAAAAATACAAAAAAAGAAAAAGCCAGTTTTTATCATCATTATAAAAATTAAAAAACATCAGGAACATGAAAGCAGTAATAATGAAAATGTACATAAGAATCTATAATAGAAATTATGATTAATAATATTTAAAATCTAAGAGAGGAAGATTGTGATGCAAAAACACTAGTTTTTGGCCCTATTTGGGTCTACTTTGCTCCTTTTTGCTTCATATATAAAGTATTGAGTAAGTACTTGTACTCACTTGTATTGTTACACCCTTAACTCTGTGTAAGAAAAATAACTGCGCACCGCCTGCTATCACGTTTTTCTAAAGCCGAGTATTCGGCCGAGTACTCGGCGAATCACTACTCGTTCCACGTCTGATGTAACTTAGGACACCCATGAAATGATATGGGGTAGTGAGTTCTCTTTCACCACCGCTACATGGCCACTGCACAAAATCGGCTGTTTGATTTAATTTGTTACCGACTGTATTAGATTAGTGTGAGATACCTTTAGCATCTTCCGATGAGTATGGCATAAGGACTTTAAGTCCTGGGCAGTGGCTGTACCAGGCACCGAAGCACTGCGAGTGTTGCGCGGCCACCCCGGATGCTGCACCATTGGGTCCGCGGAACACAATTGGTACTGGTACTGTACCAGCCGACATGTAGAATGTTTTGGCAGCTGAGTTTATCACCTGACGAAATAAATAAAGAGTTTTTCATATACAATATGACATTCACGCTTAAGCATTAGAAATAATTATATGTACTTATTTAAATTTATGTAGGAATGCAATAGAGCATGGTAAGAATATTCAATGTCGCATAAGGTACTGTTACGAGCTTAGGGTTCGTGACAATAAAAACTGCCAATTGAATTACCAAAATTGACACTTTAATTACCGAACCCCAATTAAAACTTAAAACATACTAATAGTTTATCACACTTAACACTTTAGTTCACTTTATTTCGCTTCGAAATCTTTGCTTGTATAGCCAATTCAATAGTGCCTCGGTCGCGGTCCTAAACACCTTTATGTAGGATCTTTTCTACTAAAATATCCAGAATGCTCGAGCATATATCGGTCCCGATACACTAGGTGTACAAAGTTCTCTCCCAGTTCTGCCACTCGATACTAGATGGCGCTAGTGGGATTAATTACGGCTTGAAACAGTACCGTGGGTGTTGTAAAACGCGACAGAGAAAGAGAAACCAGGAGATGAACAGCAGCATTGCGACTCCGTGGCGCAGTGGCTTAGCAATGAGTGGCTGCGCTGGGGGTCGCGGGTTCAAATCCCGCACGGAACAATATTTGTATGGCCTACAAATAGTTGTTCCGGGTCTGGATGTTTGTCCTTGTGCAATTTATGTTCGTAAACTGCCCCCACGATACAAGAGAAAATCTTAGTGTAGGGGTAACGTTTTTTAAAAAAAAGAAAAGAGAAAGAAAGAAAGCATTATTAAGATAACGGATAAAAAACAAAGCTCTGCCGTTGCCAACCCACCTACCATGCATGGTAGCTATGGCAAGTTAAAGTTACTGCTTCGTGAGGCAATCTCAAATAAAAAAGAGGCCTATGTTCAGCAGTGGACTTTGAAAGACAGTATCAATCAATTGAGAAATTGAATATGAGACAATAAAAGAAATGGAATACTACATCAATGGTAGGTGTAGTATGAGCAGGGAAAGGTAAGAGTGGAGGAAGAATGAGATGGTAATAGACATAAAACATAGTGATTTACATATTTTTGGAAAGACGTAATATTTCCAGTTATATTACTTTACTCTATGCATAAGGTAATAAGATATAGAACAAAGTAGCAATATACGAAGAATGTTACTGAGTGAAATATGTTAATTATTTTGTTATTTCAAACACCAATTCCCTTATTTATATTGTACTCATTCCTTTATATGGTTACTGGTCACGTAGCTTAAGGAGCTAAACACTTAACATAAGTTATACAGTGTGCAAGTAACCCAGAGTAGGGAATCTAATCTGGAACAAACCAGGTACAATAACATTGTTAATTGCAATTACACTACAGCTATATTATGGTTATAGTACAAATGGGTCGGCTCAACTGGGGAATGACCATGCTCTCACAGTATGCAAATTGTAAAATAATAGCGCTTAATGTTGCTATTTTGTTTGGTGAGTGTAAGAGAATCGAAGACTATTTTTATGGGATATGAGGCATTCCAATTTAGCCCTTAGGGGTGACAACGCATCTGCATTTTGATTCTTAATTGAGGATAGACTTAGATGTCTATGGGCCAAATTCTCCATATAAAGAAAGAAGCCCATGTCAGCAGTGGACTTTTATGGGCTGATGCCTTAAGATAAAGAAGAAGTTTAGTCAAGACTTGATGTCTCACTAATCAATACATGTCGACATTCGACAAGTTATTATTTTTTTCCTTACATGATCAATAGCTTGCATGGAGAAATTGAATGTCATGAATTCACAGACTGGCCTGAGTCCAGCAAAAGCAGCACCCACAGCAATACCAGCAAACCCAGCCTCTGTTATAGGAGTATCAATAACACGCTTATCTCCATACTTCTTCCAGAGTCCTCTGTAAAAGACATACATAAACATTAATAATTGATTATTTTTTATAGCATCATCATCATTATCATAATAACAGCTCATCACAAGTTCATTACTGAAGAATAGTCTCTATGGAACACCACAAAACACAGTCAGTCCTAAGCCACCAGCCCCCTATTAGATCATCTAGGGGGGCTCATGCCCTACAGCTCTATACTTCTCTTGTATGTATGAAACTACCACTCAAGAACTTATCCTCCAAACAGAAGCATTACAACACAAGAATGAGAAATAAGCTTGCTTCGGGCACATACACCAAAAAATAAGACAAAATGCTTTACATAATAATATTATGTAATATCCATGACTTTCTTGGGTAAGTACAGTAACAATAGTCTACAAATGGTTTTACTTGTTGACAAATTCCTAGGCGAAAAGAACACCTAGTGAATTATCTTACTAATTCTTGTCAGATATAATAAAGTAATAAGTGTTTTTTGTAAGGTTGTATGTATTTTTCTGTTGTATCATAATCATAAGCCTCTATTTCTATGAAATTAATAAATGAAAATCATTCATCCATCGAATACAGCCTAAAAAAGTCTACTACTGAATTTTGCTTGGCAGGCGAGTCAGTTACTGATTTATTATCATTTTGAGTTGTTATCAGGAAGATACAGCTACTAATCTCCTGTTTTAGTTTGCTTCCATCCCTTTTTAAGATACCTTTGGGATGATATGGAGTGTATTCCTGCAGCGACTCTACACAGTTATAATTGTAATTGCATATAATTGTATAAAATACGAAATTGTAAATGAACGTTTAAAAAACTGCTGCTGGGTTTCTTTGTTGGTTTTTCCCAGGACGGAGGTTGTTTTCTGAACCAGTGATTATTGCATGATTAAATGAATTTCAATAATCTACATTGAATAAAAATGATTAAATTCTATCCTATACAGTACTGGAGTATGCTTTATCTATATTTCATGTATTTTTAAAAATATGTATACAACAGTCATATATACAAGTTCTATGTAAATGAAAATTTTACTTTACGCAATACTTTAAAGATAATTTTAATTAAATCTTATCTTCTGTCATATAAGTTATCTACTGAGTAAATATTATAGTTATAAATAGATAAATACAGTCATGGCTACAAAGCTGTTAATGCAATCCTTTCAAATTTTATGACAATTATAATTACTAGCAGTTGCTTAGTGCTTAAGAGGATATAGTAAGTCAGCTCAAATTCTAATTTCGTCCCCACTTGCCCGCGCGTCGTATGCTATGTACCGACATGTCTGTAATCACTAACACTGTAAGTAGAAAGGTCGTTAGACACTTATTTCATTAGTTTTTTTACGAAATTTTACGAAATCATGTTTTCGTCTAACATAATCCTTAACATTAATCCTCAACTTTACCATATATTTATTTCAAAATTAATGCTGCAATATTTTCGGCATAACGAAGGATCTTGCTAAGCCATTTGAGATTATATTTCCCCTTAACGACCATAATTTATAAATTTTTTAAGTTTGTATTAAGCAAACCGTATTACACTTTTAACTCTCTGTATATATATTTATTATGTTTTCCAATGTACAACATATAAACTATAAAACAAAAACTTAAATGCCTTGACATCAACTACACATACTATTGAAAAAGGAACATTAGAAATCACACAAAAATTCAAATCCCTTTGTGTCAATCGGCTACATTTTAAAATTCTTTGCACACATTCTTTACATTGTGCAACTGTTTCACCATAGACTACTATGTGTTTGACAATTGGCAGTATGAACGTAAACAATGAATGTTTAATTTTATTTAATATAATAATACTAGCTTGCCAGGCACATGTTGTTCTGCCCTTTTCGACGACCTATTGTCATGTCCTATTAAAAATCCTTAAATTAGCAAAAAAAAAATCGTGGATCACTCATAGGCAAAAAAACTATCCTATCTCTCTAGTTGGACCAAACTGCACACTGTGTGCAAATTTGTTTAAAATTGGTTAAGTAGTTTAGGAAACCATTGCGGACAAACAACGTGACACGTAATTTATATATATTAAGATTATGCATAGAAATATTATTTTTGTGCATTCCTCCATATAATTTTTACCTATGCCAAATTTTTCACTCCTTCATCTGTACAATATCCTTAAAAAGGTTACAAAGTTTTTCAACAGACTTCAAAAAAGGAGGAGGTTTTCAATTCATCGGAACCTTTTTTTATTTATTATGTATGTACACCAAATACTCGAAGACACCTGAACCGATTTGGAAAATTCTTTTTCTCGTTTCAAAGGGTATGATTCTCAGGTGGTTCCATTTCAATTTCATCAAAATTGGTCAAGCGGTTTTAAAAAATCAACAATAAATTATATTTATATTGAAGTTGGTTGTAGATAATTTTTAATTTTATCAGTTGTTTAATTACAAGAAAATCAGCTTATAACTTTAAATTAATGAAATCTGTACAATTCATTTTGTATATACTATACTGTTCACAAGTAAATATTTTGATGAGTACAGTGATGTAGTACATTATTAATCATTATATTTGCTTCATCACTGCTAATTATTATGAAACACAAACCTTATTTATAAGTAACCGTTAGATAATTGTGTTTGAGGTTAGAAGAGCTATTTAAAAACTGTCGATAAATTTGTTGGTTATGTAACAGATGGTACAGGTAAAAATCCACATAAAGTAATATTTTGAAATCTTATATGAATATTTTAAATCTTATAGTACTGTAATTTTAACATTTGAAAGATAGTTGTTTGATTTATAACTTTAAAATCTTACCTGCTGACTTTATAGGCACCATCGTATTGAGCTACTTCTTCACCTAAAATAAAAACTCTTTCATCTCGAGCCATTTCCTCATCTAATGCTTGATTTAATGCATCACGAACAGTCATAGGTTTTGAAGCCAAAGCTTTAGAAGTAGAGAAAGATCGTCGAGACAAGCGAGTCATCAGACCGAACACAACCGGTGTAGATTTCAACGCCATTTTCACTTTTACGTATATTTTAGGCACTATGAAACGCACAATAAATGTAAATAAATATTTCGAAGCTCTATAGAGAGCGTTTTTTCAATACTTTAGTTGAAAATGGAGTTAAAATCCTCGATGTACTCTAATGAAGGATGAATGGAGGTCGTGATTTCGCACTCACGTCAAAATCAAGACATGTCAATGTCAAAAAGCAAGTGACATATCTTAGCTTTTTTTTTCAATTCATTGTATCATTGGCTATAAGGTCATCAGCGTAGACAGAGACTCTCTATCTACGGTCATCAGCCCAGAGGCATACGTACAGATAAGATGGATAATCTTAAGATAAATAATGTTAAGATATCTGTGTATATAATTCATTCTTTACATCGTTTTATTTTTTAAGTTCTACACAATATGTTGACAATTTAACATACGCATTTCCTCGCCAACTCGCTTGTTACTAGCAGCTACAACTAGTCGCGGATACAGTCATCTCATGGACCAATAGTTTCCATGAAATTACTGTATCCGCAGAAAAAGTTAAAGGGCTGCATTGAGGGTTCTACATTTTAGGACATATTAATTCAAAATATCGTATAACGTATTTTTAAATTGATAGCTCGATACGGGCGTTTGTGGGCGTCGTAATTTTGTTTATCACGGTTGGAGACGCTAGAAAAATGGAGAGTGAATCAGGTATTATTCTGGATAAGCGATTACTTTTTACATGACATGTCACAGTCACGAGAAATTCAAACTCTACAACAATGAGTGCAAGCAGATGGATCATATATTAAGGTAATCTTACTGTTTTGTCATGTTAGTTTGATTGTGATCAATTGTGACAGTCCACACAAGTCATCATCATCATCATTACAGCCCTTCACAAGTCTACTGATGAACAAGGGTCTCCCCTAAGTTTTGTCACAAAGGACAGTCTTGAGCCACCTGCATCCATCGACCTCCTGCATCTCTTACCAGGTCGTCACTCCATCTAGTGGGGGTTCGCCCTACACTTCGCATACCAGTACGAGGCTGCCACACGAGAACCGTTTTTCCCCACCGGTTTGTGGCCGGTGGAGGCAAAGGGGAGATCTCCCGCCGGGCAAGGTGTTCTGCCCGGGGAGCGGCCGACACTCCGTGTGACAGTTCGGAGATGTTTTATATATACTGTAAACGATTTGGAATTTTGATAGCATGATTTAGGCGTCGGTGTATTTCGCTTGCAGCGCGACGACAGCGCCGCCACAGGTTGTCGGTTCTTCGAGCTATATGGCCGGCCCATTGCCACTTCAGCTTACTAATCCGTTGGGCCATGTCGGTCACTCTGGTTCTACTGCGGATATCCTCATTTTTAAGTTTATCACGCAGAGCAACCCCGAGCATAGCCCTCTCCATAATTTGCTGAGCGACTTTGAGCGTCCTTATACGACCAGCAGTGAAGGACTACGTCTTAGTTCCATAAGTCATCACTGGCAACACGCACTTGTTGCATAGTCTCTTTTTCAGGTTTTGAGGTATAGCTGATGAGATGTGTCGTACCTTCCCGAACGCTGCCCAGCCGAGTTTAATCCGTCAATTGACCTCTTGGTCGAAGTTGAACTTACTAAGTCGGACTATTTGTCCCGGGTAACCGTACTCGTTAAAAACTTCGAGCAAAGTGCTCCCAACAACGAACGGGATAGGTGTAACATGGACATTAAACATGATCTTTGTTTTGTCCATGTTCATCTTAAGACCTATCCGTTGGGAGACACTATTGAGATCATTGAACATAGTGCTTAGGTCCTCCAGTGATTCTGTTATAAGGGTTATATCGTCGGCAAATCGAAGTTGAGTGATGTACTTGCCATTGATGTTAATACCGTATATTTTCTAGCCCAGAAGCTTGAAAACGTCTTCCAATGCAGCGGTGAACGGTTTCGGGTATATAACGTCACTCTGTCTTACACTTCTCTGCAGTTCGATAGGTTTCGTACTCTGGTTCTGTACTCGGATGGCCATCGTAGCTCTACTGTGCAAACACTTCAGCACTTTGATATACTGACAGTCCACTTGGAACCGTTGAAAAGACTGTAGCACAGCCGAAATTTTGATGGAATCAAAGGCTTTCTCATAGTCCACATACGCCAGGCAAAGTGGCAGATTGTACTCTTCGAACTTCTGCACGATTTGCCGAAGGGTATGTATGTGGTCTATGGTGCCAAAGCCTTTTCGGAAACCGGCTTATTCGTGAGGCTGAAATTCGTTGAATCTGCGTGCGAGACGATTTGTAATGACTCTTGAGAACAGCACGTAGACGCGGCTCAGAAGAGATATCGGTCTGTATGTCTCCAAGAGAGCGTTGTTACCTTTCTTGAAGAACAAGACCACCGCACTTTTGTTCCACGCCTCGGGAGTAGTGCTACCAAGGAGGACGGAATTGAAGAGCTTCTGAAGGACTTCAGGTACCGGTTTTCCACCCGCTTTCAGAAGCTCCGCTGTAATTCCATCCTCACCCGGGTTGCTTGCCGTTTTTAAGGTGTTGGAGAGCCATTCTAATCTTGCTCAGACTGACGTCCGGGATATCAACGGAATGGTGTCGGATAAGACTTGCTCTTGGATCGCTACTCACACTTGCGTGTGGCTCCAACGATGACGTGTACAGCTGCCCATAGAACTTCTCAATCTCACTCAAAATCTCAGGTATACTGGAAACGATGCTGCCACACTCGGTCTTTAGCTTCTACAGTTGGCTTGTTCTGACAGACAGATCCCTGGCAAAGACTTTGGAGCCTTGTTGCCGCTCGATCACTTCTTGAATACGAGCTGTATTGAAGTTGCGTAAGTCCCGCCGCATGTATTTGGAGATCTGTCTTTTCAGTTGCCTGTATGCTGCCAAATCTGTTGAAGACTACAGCTTCATTTCCCGTCTAACAGCCATGAGATTAAGAGTGTGATCGAAAATTTTTGTGTTCTTCTGCGGCAGGTCCTGCAGAACTTAGCTCCGACCTTATGGACAGTTTCCACGAGCTTGTCGTTCATATCGTCCACTGCCTTGCAATCTTCTAGGGACTAAAACCGTTTTGTAATTCGAGCTGAAAGGTGTCGGGACTTTGGATTAGAGTACGAGGGGGATAGAGCGTTGACTTCATTAGACGAGACCTCTCTAACTTAACGTTTAGTTCAGTGTGCCTCTAACCATTCAGTGATCGCTGCCAGTTTTCATCCTCACGATCACTGAGAACAGTTGGCGTCTAGTCGTCATAATGAAGTCAATCTCATTTTTTGTCGAACCGTCAAGGCTCGACCAGGTCCATTTCCTGTGGAGCCACCGCTGGAAGAAAGATTTCATCATAAAGAGTAATTCCTTCTCCAAGAAGTCGGTCAGCTGCTGGCCCCCTGGGTTCCGTTGCCCGTTAAATTTCCCTTACTTCAGCTTACCGCTTTTTCTTGTGCCTAGTTTTGCGTTAAAGTCTCCCATCAACACCGTATTTGGAGGGTCGGGCACAAAGCGCTTCTTTGAAGCTCCCTTCCTATGGGCTTCCCGAGAAATTGTGCAATTGGATCACCAGCTTTCTTGCAGATCGGAGCATCAATGTCGTTGTAGACGGTGCATGCTCCGATTACAAGCCTATTACTGCTGGTGTTCCACAAGGCTGCGTGCTATCGCCAATGCTGTTTCTTCTTCATATCAATATGTTGCAAATCCGTAACGTTCATTGCTATGCAGATGACAGCACTGGTGATGCTCTGTACACCGGCCATGCCAATATTCTCGGGAAAACGTCTCCGAGTACCAGGACAAATTTGTGTATGAAGTCGAGTCTTTGCTGAACAGAGTCTCAGATTGGGGGCGACTAAATCTAGTCCAGTTTAACCCTCGGAAGACACAAGTTTGCGCGTTAACCGCTAAAAAGAACCCCTTTGTAGTATCTCCTCAGTTTTCAGGCACTCCCCTTGTTGCCTCAGCCAGTATCGGAATCCTCGGCGTCGACATTTCGAGTGACGTGCAGTTTCGTGGTCACTTTGAAGAGAAGGCCAAATTGGCCTCTAAAAAGCTTGGCGTGCTCAGCAGAGCGGGACAGTATTTTATGCCGGTACACCGCCTGCAACTTAACAAGGCGCAGGTTCGGCCGCACATGAAATACTGTTCCCATCTCTGGTCTGGAGCTCTCCAGTACCAGCTCCTTGTTGATGATGTTGAATCTCTTTGCATTTTTGTTCGCATATACCATGGGGAATGCTCTGAGGAATTGTTCGGATTAATCGCAGCCGCCAAATTTTGTGAACGCTCTACGCGGCAAACGTCCCGATACCATCCACACCATCTGGATGCCTGGCGGCCACCACTGTACGTTTCACAAGGAGTTTACTTCCGCGTACGATATCTCTGTGTGTGTACGATTTTTCCGGACCGATACGACCTGGGGACCTTCAAGAAAAGAGCTTACTCCTTTATAAAGGGTTGGCAACGCACTTGCAATTCCCCTGGTGTTGTGGTTGATCATGGGTGGCGGTAGTCACTCAACATCATGTGAGCCGCATGCTCGTTTGCCCCCTCTTCTATAAAAAAAGAATACATGGCTCTAGAGATACCTCATACATTTCCTCCACCTCCTTATCGGGATGTGCCGAGGTTGGTGCGCAAACGTGTATGACCTTCAGCGAATACCGTTCGGTGATTGTGAGTATCAGGTACGCGACCCTCGTTGACACACTCTCCATCTTTACAATGTTGTTGACAAGTGACTTGTGGACGATAAATCCGACAGCTGCTTGGGACAGATGGTTGCCCTCCCGGTGATAGAACAAGTTGCCGGATTCGAGGATTACCATGTCCTCCTCCTCTCTTCGGACCTCGGATAATCCTATTATATGCCAGCACAACCTGTTTACCTCTTTTTCTAGCTTCAGTATCTTCTCGTCAGCCCTCAGGGTGCGTGCGTTATATGTTGCCAGGTCGAGTCATTGTAGGTGGCAACCGAACCTCCACCGGATATCCTTACCACCCCCTGCCCCGCCGTTACCAT